TCCCTGGCAGTGTTCAAGGCCAGGTTGGATGGAGCTCTGAGCAACCTGGTCTGGTGGAAGATGTCCCTGCTCATGGCAGAGGGGTTGGAACCAGATGATCTTTCAGGTCCATTCCAACCCAAACTTTTCTATGATTCTCTGGCAGCGGCTCTGCCTACCTTCGAAATTCATTACTAGTTTTCAACTCTGCCCTATACAGCACGTGTTTCCATTGTGTTTGCTTTAGAGTGGCGAGAAAGTCTTTAATTCACATGAAGGTCATGACCCGCTCTGAACCTGCGTGTCACCACAACGGTGTGTTGGTGGGGTGGACGTGTCTGCTCAGGGTGCTGGTGGTTGCGAGGGCACCCTGGCCTTGGGCAACGTGTTGGTCCGGGCTTCTGACCCAGCGGGTGATGGGGTAAGAGCCTCCCTGTGCTTTGTCCCTGGGACAGCCTAGCACCACTGCAGGGAGAAGGCCCTGCTCAGACCTCCTGGCTGTGCCATGGCCACCCCAGCCCTTCTCCTGGTCGGAACTGCACGCTGCGTCCCAGGACCGGTCGCTTGGTGAGCATCGGGCTCTGTGTTTGGTGAAGTGGCCTGCTCCCCTGAAACCTGGCCACACCGAGGGACAGACAGACGTGGAGAAGGACCTCTCCCAAGCGGTACGGTCCAGTTCTCTGGTTCAGAAACGGCTCCTGCTGGTTGCCCTGGCAGGGGAGGGCTTGTGCGGGGGGGTGGAAAGGAGAAGCTCTAGGCATAATCCCAGTTGCAGTGCCTTGGGCCTTGAAAAGGTGACAGAAAATTTTCCTGCTCGCATTTGTTCTCGTTCAGCTACAGCTTGTTCACCAGGATGTTTTTCAAGGAGGGTCTGGTCGGTGTTGGCAAAGGGAAGGCTCTTGTTTCCCAAGCACGCTTATCTCTTTGTCCTTGACAACGATGGGAACTTCTGGCACTTTTTTTTGCATTTAGAAGCAAACGTGAGAAAGCCTCCCTTTGCAGGCAGCATTGTGCTGGTTTTCCTGTGTGCTGGATCCTGCAAGACAGATAAAGTTTCCCCAAAACGCTGTTGGCTTTGCAGATGTTTGACCTGGGAAAGCTGGCTGGGAGGCGGAGGAGGGTTAGTGTCTGAAGGATGAACTGAGGAGATCTCGCAGTTCAAATAAAATAACCTGCTGTCACTTGGGAAAATGCGCTTTGGTGTAGGATGAACAAGAAAATCTTCAGTATTATAAACAATGTTGCAAATATGTGAGTGTGTCTGGCAGGGGGTGGTGGTGCTGGGGTGGTGCTCCTCACCACAGGGCTGGTGGACGGTTTGCGTCTGTAGGAGAAGAGCAGCAGTCGGTGTTCGCCCTCTGCCCTCCCTTCGTGTGAATACTTCGAAGGTTTAGGCTGCGAGACATGAATCGGGAGCTCCTGTTTTAAGAAAGATACAGATTTTTGAAGTAGAAGATTTTGTAGGTGCTGGTATCATTTTACGTAGGGATTTGCTGGAGGTGATCAGGTGCTTGTGGGGCAGACTTAACAAGCATGCATTAGAAGGGTGATGCTTAAATCTTCCAGCTCTACAGGAGAGTAGAACCTCCCATGCTACATATGGCTTTGAAAATTTCCTTTATTTCTTCAGAACTTTGGTTATTTTATATTTGTTTTTTTGTTATCCATATATACGATCAAACTGGTTTTATCCCTGTATCTAGATACAATGCTTGTTACTTGGTAAGAGTTGAGGACGCAAACACCCTGCGTAATGGACATCTCTTGCTGTCGGAAGGTGGATTGTGGAGGAAGCTGTTTCCTTCCAGGTGCTGGTGTAGAAGTGGTGGCCGGCAGCGGTGTGCAGGTGTTCTCGAGCAGCTGCAAGAACTAATGTCACATATTGGCACTACCCTTGCAAGCACAAGACACTTTGCTTCTAGTGTCACAGGGAAGTTTTGGAAGTACAAGGAACGCCCTCTTTAGTGTCATCCCCTTTTTGCTAGTAGTGGCATTTGGGATATCTTGTGTGTGAAGGAATACAGTCAAATCATTGAAGGCCAGTTAAGAAGAGCCCTGTCCTGTTGGTGGGACTCATTTCCTTCAGCCCTCAATCAGCATGCATACAGGGTTATGATGCATAAAAATGAACAGAATATTAGTATATTGGCATAAAAATGAACAGAATATTAGTATATCGTACTAACTGCACAGTGGGGCTGAGGGCACAGCACTGGCCGGCTGGCACGGCTGCTGTCCCCGCCCTGATGGCAGAGGGCAGGCTGGGTTTGTTAAGGCAGCGGTCAGTAGTGGGAAAGTGCTAGAAGTGTAGCCAGAGCAAGATGTGTTGTGGTAGCAATCAGGGTTTGGCTGCTGTCCTCCTCCTGCTTTATTGTGCACAAAAGAAGCCATTCCTACCTGCAGAGTAGAAAGCAACTCAAACGTGGTGTATTCATACACCCAGCAAGAAGCACTGGCTGTCTATTTCCAGAAAATCGGAGCGTAACAGTCAGCAAGAAGGAAGTTTGGTGCTTGAATGTGGCTTTTAATTTTCAGTGTTAAAAAATCCCCAACCCATCAACCACTCGTGGTGTAAAATTGAAGTCAGCAGTTGCAGGAGGCTGAGCATGGTTCGGCTTGAAATTTTCCACTCCTTTCTATTAGAAATAGATGTAGGAGAAGTTTTCTTCACTTTCCTTTTCCCGGAGGATCATTTGGGCTGCAAAGCTCCCGCCCATACATCTCAGTAACAGAACCCGGGCGGGACTTTGTGTCTGCTGTGGTCGCTTGGTTGGGACCGCAGCGAATGCTCTCAAAAGCGTTTACAAAGGTGGTGATTCTGGATGTGTCTTAATGACTGTTGAACAGCCAAGCATCAAGATGCTCTGTCCCAGGGCCTGAAATTTCAGATTTCCTATAGCATATGCACCAATTCTCTCGCTTTGGCTAGAGTTTTGTGGCTGTCGTCATCTTATACTCTGGCTACCTAGACTGATCCTGCTGTTTCAGGCTGTATTTTGTTCCTCCGCTCTTGCAGTGGAGGAGTCGCTGAACGTGAAGGCAAAATCCCTTGTGTGGCATTTCCCAGGTTTTGGACCTTGCAGTGCATGTGGATCACTGGTCTGCCATACTGGGTGCAGCTGGTTTCCATTTGGGAGCCTCCGGCAGGAGCGTGCTTGCTGAGCAGTGATGCTGCCGGGCTCGGAGGTTAATGCTCGTGTTTCTCTTTCCCCAGAGATCATCGACGACCTCACTAACCTGGTTGAAAACACAGACGACAAGCTTCGCAACCAGACGCGGCATGTGAAGATGGTGGACAAGAAATCAACGTCCTGTGGTAGGAAATGGCTTGAGCACAAATCCCGCCTTGTCGTTAAATGATGAGAAACCAGTCTAGCGCTCAGAGGCTGCTCGCAATGTGCTTCCCTCAAGGACAGCTTCTTTTAAAAATCTGAAAACCCATCTCTCCAAACTCGAATGTGCCTTCCGCTGCTGTTGCAGGTTTGACTCTCTGCGCTTGCTGCGTGTTTATACAGTGAACTTCCTTAAGCCATTTGACTCCAGCATTGCGCAGTGTTCTGGCTGGTATTGTAGAATTGTACGAAAGGAGTGTGGTATGTGTTAATTAGGTTTAAAAAACTGGCTAGCTACTCGCTCTCACAAGCCGGTCGTGGTAGGGAGTGATGCTGCGGAGACGTTTCTGGTGGTGTCCTCCAGGAATGAGTTCTCCACCGAGCAGCATTCGCAGCCTGCCAGACATGGAATCCGTGCCGGTGACTCTTCGAGCTACGTACAAGCTGGTAAAGCTGCAGTGGACTCCCGTTCCACGCAGCCAAAGCAAGGTTGTACATCTCGAGGGAGGGAATCCAGGTTGCCTCTGTAGGATGAGGAGCTGGGGGTTGGGTAGCGATGCCTGGGGGAGGATGCTGTGGGTAGTGGCAGAACATGTGTCTTGGGAGGAGGAGTGGCTGAGGGATGAAGTCCGTGGGGAGGCGGTGGTAGCGAGACACTTCTGGAAGTGGCATGTCCAGGTCTGGTGTCCATGCTTCGTTATTGCCATACTAGAAGACGCAGAATGCTAAAAGAATAATTTATGCTCTGTAGAAATTTGACTTATAGTCAGAAGTTAATGAGATTTGGTAGTTTAGTAAAGAGAAAGTTGAGAGCTGGCTTGGTCACGTATCTGTTTCTGGCTGGTAGGGAACTGCTGTAGAGTGATGAGCGGCAAAAGCGACTAAGCTCAGGTGGCACTGAGGCGGTTTTCACGCACTGAGGATATGTTTCAAGGATTTCTTTAGTTCTCCATTAGCGATAATTTCTTTAAGGCTTGGTTGATGTACGTTGGTGAAAATCTGTGGCCTTTTCTGGATGTTAGAAGTGGACTTGTCAGAGGCATTTGTCTATGATTTGTCTCATACCAACTACGGGTAGAATTAAAGGTGTGACTGCAGAGTTCATGACTGACTTTTATTTTAGGTCTTTAAATGTTGGCGGAAGATAGGTTTAATCTAAAATTAATAGCACTTGAATGATGCTGAGTACCCCTGTGTGCCTTTGGGTTTTCCCCATAATTTCTATGGTTTCATTTTCTGCATGATCACAGGGAAGCGCGACGCAAAATGCCTGCACGGGGCAGGCAGGGCAGCTCAGCTCATCTCATACAGGACGGCTTCTCCCTCCTGAGCTATTTCTCCACCTTTTTAGGTTCCTCTTGCGAAAGCAGCCCCCAGACAGTGTTGCTGGATAATGAGCCTGTCTCTTTAATTGGGAAGCCCATGCTGGCTGCGCTGGGGAATTTGAGAGGAGGAGGAGGATGGGAGAGGCAAAGGCTGGGAGGATTCAGGGCTGGATTCCTTGGGGGTGACCTCTCTCACCCTTTCCACATTGAAAAACATTTTTCTGCCAGGGGTGGTGAGAAGCGCTGCCTCTCGGTGCCGGTTCCCTCTGCTCAAACGGGGCTGCCTGTGTTTGCATAACAATTTGGGCATAAGTAAACACGATATTGCCTCAGATAGCTGCTTCACTCTGCCTGAGCAGGAGGTTTAGAACAATAATGCTGGAAGACACAGACTTTCACGGGCATTCTTCCCATCCCTTTTCCACCCTTATCCCTGGCGCTGAAAATTAACGAGCAGAATAAGATCAGAAAAACCCTTTGCATACGTACAATTATTCCTTGCACAAAGCCAAGCAGTGGGAAAGCTGGCACCTGCTAGGTAATTTTTTCAAAGAGCTCCCGCCCCCCAATATTTCATGTAAATTGGTAAAATCTTCAGTAACTCTTTAGTTTTGGCATGTTACTCTGGATTTAATCTGGAGAGAAGTGCTCGGTGCCCACCCCTTCCTTCCCCGGGATGCAGATGTTTGCTTGGACCCAGTCTCCGCGCTGTTCCAGCATGTGCCTGTTTCCGTGGTTTTGCTTCATTTTTGAAATCATAATGTCATTTTATTTTTCTGATGAGTGCCTGTTCTGGAGCCGCTGGCTGTGGATACAAGCAGAGCAGCCTGGCACGAGTAGTGGAATAATCACCCTTTTACGAGCACGAATGCAACGTATTAATGGGTGTGTCTTTGTTAGCAGCCCGTATAATAAGAAAATCAAAGTATTGCTGATGAAATCCAACTTTAATCAATATTTCAACGTCTTGCTCTCATGCAAACATTGTTTCGAGCTCCGGAGGTTGTTTCCAGCGACCGGCGTGGTTTATGCCGCGGCCGTCGTTCCCTCGGTGCTACCTGCTCGGCACGGGCATCGCTGGGTGCGGAAGCGTCGCAGAGAGCAGCGTCTGCGCCTCTGGCCGTACACAGTCCCAGCAGAAACCTTCAGGTTGTTTCGGGTGGGTTGTTTCCTTCACAGATCACTTGCAATGCCGTTTCTCTTGCTGACTCAAGAGCTGTTGACAATCCCACCCCTTGCTTCTGCCCGATGAAGGCTGTCCCGGTCGGAGCCTGTCCGCCTCCCTTGGTGGCCCCGGGCAGCCCCACACTGGTGGCAGTGGGAACTCCCAGGGACTGGAGCGGAAGAATTATCATGGGATATACTTAAATCTTCTGCATTTATGAAATTATTGTTGAAGGTCGTCCATCAGTCATCTGCAGGCAAATGCTTGCACGCTGCTTGGCATTGTCTTCTTTTCAGCGTATGCAGGGCATTTAGGGGGGGTTAAAACATACGTATTTCTTAAATTTCAGACATTCGCCTTGAGCTTTCACCAAAATGTACATACAAATCATTAATCAAATGTTAGGCTGCCTTTACCCCATTTGCTACA